CTATCTCTGAAGGTATAAGTCTACAATGTAACTTACTTGGAACTTCTCGGAAAAGGGCATACTTTCTGTCTCCGACAACAACCTTGCTAACTTCTTTTCCTGAGCGTTCAGCCAACTCAAGGTCTGGTTGACTTTCCCCTGGGAAACAGAACAGAAAGTTGCCATTTTTGTTTTCTTTTTTATCACTCCTCCTGACAATTGCAGTTTGCACTGTTGCAAGAGAAGGCGCCTTATCAAACATATTCCCAAGGCTCTTTCCCCTTGCAAACTGCTTCAGTGCAAACCTAGGGAAACAAACGCAGTGATCCAACAGCATTTTGGAAGAGGTTTATTAGCTTTGCTTTAGTTCTATGTTGCTTTTAATGCACATCCTGGGTTTTTTTGTAAGTCGCTTTGAGCTACTTTTTTTGTAAAAATAAAATAAGATAAAATATAAAAGACAAACGAGTTCAAACAACAACAACGATTTCCTGTGGCTCCCCGTTTGTGGAAGGCTCTCCCCAGAGACTCACGACTAGCACCTTCATTTTAGACTTTTAGGAGCCAGGCAAAAACATTACCCTTCAACCAGGCATTGCACTGATGAACATCCTATATCCTTTTAAATGTGTTTGTAGAAGGGGGGGGTTATTGGTTGTGTTTGCTTTTATTATGTACTTTGTGTTTTTTATATCGTCTTTTTATCCCCAGGTCAAGGTTAAGGGCCAGGGAATATTACATCTGCAAGAGCCATCTGTGCTGTGGGCTACTCTTTCCCCCCCTTTTATTTTTTATTTTATTTTCAATGCAAAATTACAACAAAAATGACAAACATTGAAATAAAACTATACAAACAAGAAAGAAAAACAGAACACAAAAGAGGAAAGGAAAAAAGAGCACACATCTACAAATAAAACCATATCTTCATTCTAATCTAGCCATTACATAAAGGTAAAGGTAAAGGTACCCCTGCCCGTACGGGCCAGTCGTGTCCGACTCTAGGGTTGTGCGCCCATCTCACTTAAGAGGCCGGGGGCCAGCGCTGTCCAGAGACACTTCCGGGTCACGTGGCCAGCATGACTAAGCCGCTTCTGGCGAACCAGAGCAGCACACGGAAACGCCGTTTACCTTCCCGCTATAAAGCGGTACCTATTTATCTACTTGCACTTAGGGGTGCTTTCGAACTGCTAGGTGGGCAGGAGCTGGGACCGAACGACGGGAGCTCACCCCGCCGCGGGGATTCGAACCGCTGACCATGCGATCGGCAAGCCCTAGGCGCTGAGGTTTTACCCACAGCGCCACCCGCGTCCCCTAGTCATTACATACATATACACATATTGACTTCCTTCCTTTGTTCTAAGACCTCAAAAATTTTACTCTTTCTAAATTGTTGTGTCTAATGTAATTACCTCTATCTTTATACTTTTTACATCATTTTTCTTTTTATTTAACCCTGCAAAGCGCCATTCATTACATACCGACATGCTTACTCCAGAACAATGTTTTTTCATAGTCTTTAGCGCATCCCCATTCTTTTAATAATTTCTGGTCCAATTCTCCCTTTATGAATGCTGTGAGTCTTGCCAGATTCGGGCTGCTCTTTTTTGGTCCAAGAGCTACATCACCCGTAAGCCAACCCTCCAGGTTGCCAGCAGTGGACGTGACCAAAGGAGGTGTGGCCACCCCACACATTTCCCCATGTACGCATACCCAGGCAGACACACAAGCACACATTCCATTGATCTGTGCAGATCAGCTGAGAAGGGGGGGTTCCTTTCCTTGTTCCATTCATCAAATGATCAATCTGACAATTGATCGGGAAGAGGGCAATTCCTACCCTCTCAGGTTGTTGGGATTCCTGTAACCACAGCACTGGGTCTACTATTTATTCATTTACTGGCAGAACCTTGGGCACCAGGGGAAAAAATGTTTTGAGGGGTGGACAGATCAGGCCCCTGACCCGGGGTCAGCTTCCCCTGCTATAGGGATGCTTAGAGATAACTCAAGACTTCGTATTCCAAAGCAAACAGGGAATATATGAGGCTTGGTCCAAAAACAAAACAGGTCACCATACCTGCATCTCATCTTCAGCCACAGGTAGACTTTTGAAATACTGCAGAAACTGAGCCACGTATGTCATGACGGATTTCTCATCTGGACTGACGACATCAACATCTGTAAAATGCCAGAAGCTATTAAACATCTCAGCACCCCAGAGGGTCTAAATGGAATGAGGCAGTCTTTCAGATACAGTGGTACCTCGGGTTACATACACTTCAGGTTACATACGCTTCAGGTTACAGACTTCGCTAACCCAGAAATAGTGCTTCAGATTAAGAACTTTGCTTCAGGATGAGAACAGAAATCGTGCTCCGGCGGCGCGGCAGCAGCAGGAGGCCCCATTAGCTAAAGTGGTGCTTCAGGTTAAGAACAGTTTCAGGTTAAGAACGGACCTCCGGAACGAATTACCATATTTTTTGCTCTATAGGACACACCCGACCATAGGACACACCTTGTTTTAGAGCAGGAGAACAAGAAAACCCCCCCCCTCTCTGCTCAGCGCCCCTTCAGCGAAGCGGCAGGAGAAACAGAGCACCTGAAGCCTTGCACTCCCGGCTTCAGCAAAAGGAACCTGAAGCCGGCGGAGCACAGCGGGAACTCGCGCTGCGCTCCGAAGGCTTCAGGCAGCTATTCCTGAAGCCTGGAGAGCGAGAGGGGTCGGTGCGCACTGATCCCTCTCGCTCTCCAGGCTTCAGCGAAAGCAACACGAAGCCTCCGGAGCACAGGGGGAGCTCTCCCTCTTCACTTCAGAGGCTTCACGTTGCTATCGCTGAAGCCAAGGAGCCTGCATTCACTCCATAGGACGCACCCACATTTCCCCTTAATTTTTGGAGAGGAAAAAGTGCATCCTATAGAGAGAAAAATATGGTAAATACTTAACCCAAGGTACCACTGTATTTGGAGCAGTTTAGGGCTTTCAACACATGTCCATATGAAAGACACACTAGAAAACATGTGAAGTAAGTTGCCTGTTTTATGAAAGCACCTGCTTGGTCATATTTATTCCCATTCACAGATTTTGGTACAATTCCCCTCCCCTCTAGCACATTCATATTGAAAACAGGGTAAAAAAAATCTATGCCCATGAAAACACAACCGACACTGTTATGACTGGAGACACTCTGTTCTTGGGCACAATGGAAGGTTTACCGTCAGGTTCAAGCAGCCGGGGTATGTTGAGTTCTGTCTCTGCAATTTCGAAGGCCTCCTCCAGGTTCTCTTTGTTGGGTCTATCTTTTGCTCTCTCCACGTCTACCAAGCCCGGCCTCAAGGCGTGAATGATGGCCAAGAATGCCAACCCATTCCTCCAACTGGATTTGAAGTCTGCAACGCTGATGGAGCCATGCCTGTGCCCAAAAACACCCACCCACCCAAATGTCTCTTCAGTTATTCCTGTAAGCAGTGACACTGTGCTGCCAACCATGTAAGCAACCCCCCCTCGCACCAGCACCCTATTTTTACAGCCTGGGACAAAGCACAACACTGTCTCTTAACCAGTTAAGGGATGGGGAGCAAGCTGTAGACCCACAGGTGCCCTCTCCCACCCCACAGGGGTAGAAACCTCCCTTAGATCTGCCTTGATTTAGAATTACATCTGCACCGAGGTTAACCCAAGACTCATGCTAACCAGGGTTCCCCCAATTAACCAGAGGCTGAAGTGAGTTCAAAAACGCTGGTTTTGGGGAAAACCTTGAAGGCCTTAAAAGGTGGTTAAAGGTAAAGGACCCCTGACCATTAGATCCAGTTGTGACTGACTCTGGGGTTGCGGCGCTCATCTCGCTTTACTGGCCGAGAGAGCCGGCGTACAGCTTCCGGGTCATGTAGCCAGCATGACTAAGCTGCTTCTAGCGAACCAGAGCAGCGCACGGAAACGCCGTTTACCTTCCCGCTGGAGTGGTACCTATTTATCTACTTGCACTTTGACATGCTTTCAAACTGCTAGTTTGGCACGAGCTGGGACTGAGCAATAGGAGCTCACTCCGTCGCAGGGATTCGAACCGCCGACCCGTACGGGCCAGTCTTGCCAGACTCTAGGGTCACTCTATAGGCTGGGAGCCAGCGCTGTCCGCAGACACTTCCGGGTCACGTGGCCAGCGTGACAAGCAGCATCTGGCGAGCCAACGCAGCACACGTAATGCCATTTACCTTCCCGCTAGTAAGCGGTCCCTATTTATCTACTTGCACTTTGACGTGCTTTTGAACTGCTAGGTTGGCAGGAGCAGGGACCGAACAACGGGAGCTCACCCCGTCGCGGGGATTCGAACCGCCGACCTTCTGATCGGCAAGTCCTAGGCTCTGTGGTTTAACCCACAGTGCCACCTGTGTCCCTAAAAGGGGGTTAGACAAGATTAATGGAGGACAAGGCTACAAAAGCCATGTGATATCACTAAAGCAGAATTAGCTCTACTGCTAATGCACAATTATAGTATCTAAGAAGTGTTGAAGAATATACCTGCCCTAAATGAGCAGTCTGGCAGGGAAGGGGCTCCGTTTTAAGAATGGGAGCCATTATATTATACTTTCCGCCCGGTGGCAAATCTATTTCGAGGCAATTACAGATAACGTTTGAGAGAAATGTGCCCGGTGACTTCCTACAGCACATTTGTTTCCTAGAAAATGCAGCCATGCTGAGAGACGAAGGAATGAGTCAGAATGAGTGCTGACATAAAAATGGGTTGTGTATTGTAGATATGCAGGAAGGAGGACAAAGGCTAAGGCTGGGCACCGCGGGGTGAAATCAGCGATCTCACTTGTTCAGAATGTCAGGGTTTGTTGGCAGAGTGGCCAAACTCACTTGGGGAGTGGAAACCACTTAACTTGTCAGACTTTCTCTTTGTTCTTTGTCCTGCTATTCAACTCCACCCCTGTTGAGGAAATCAACTTAAAAGTCCTTTGGCTAGGCTAAAGAAAGCTCTTTGGCCCCGCTGACCAGCCTGCAAGATCAGGCCGCTCTCTTTGGGGGAGGGCTGTATGTAGCTCAGCGGCACGGCACATGCCTTGTCTGCAAAAGGTCCAAGGTTCGAATCATGGCGTCTCCAAGAAGGGCCGAAACAGACTGCCAAAATTCTGGAGAGACGCTGCCGGTTGGTGTAGACAATACTGAGGCAGATGGACCACTGGCCTGACTCAGTAGAAGGCAGCTTTGCATGCCCTATTTATATCAACGATGAGGACTAGAATCTCAATATTGTTTTTAAAGTAAGTGCCATAACCTAGTGGCTGAACATCTGATTTGCACGCAGGAGTCCTCAGGTACAACCCACAACATCTGCACCTCTACCTGCGGCAGGAGAGGAGGAGTAACTGAGTCAACTGCAAAGCAGGTAAAGTTACCATCTCTCTGCTTTGCTCCGCTACTGCTCCCCTCCTGAAGGGAGAAGAGAGATTCAGGACCATCCCTGGAGGATAATATCACCCCCCACAGCACTGAATTGGGTGTGGTGGTGGGGTTAAAGGGGGGAAACTGTGGGTTTCAGGTGAATGGTTTTTTGTACTACAGGAAGTTGAGGCTTGGGGGGTGTGGGTGGAGCTGTGAGTTAAACCACAGAGCCTAGGACTTGCTGATGAGAAGGTTGGCGGTTCGAATCCCCACAACGGGGTGAGCTCCTGTTGCTTGGTCCCTGCTCATGCTAACCTAGCAGTTCGAAAGCACATCAAAGTGCTTTAACTTTACTTAGGTTGAGGCTTTGTTTATTTTTGTTTATCAAAATATAATAATTTTAAAAAAACAAATACCGTACATGTCAAAAATTGCACATATGCATTCCAAAACATAATAATTTTTCTTTGCTTTTTTTGACTCCCCCACCCCCATTTTCCATGCTGTTTTTAATTTCTCCCCCTTGCTGTACCCGATCTTTTCCGTCTTATATCATAACCACCGTACAAGAAACTCTAACTCCTTCTGTTGCTCATGGTTCAAATCCTGCACGTGAATTCAACATACTATAATACTTCTTTCAAATATTAATACGTTTATTTAAATATTTAAATGGTTTTTTTGTTAGTAAGCGGGTCTGAGTATTGTTTTGCTTATCATTTGATAATGGTTTCTTTCATGGATGTTATGCTGTATGAAATATTAATGTCTATTATTATTAAAAATTTGTATGCCGCCCTGTACCTGCAGGTCTCAAGACGGCTCTTAACATAAAATCACAATATAAAAACATAAAATACATAATAAAAATATAGCCTTTGGCTTGGAGTCAACTTGATCCCCTCCCCCTCTTTCCTTTTTCCTTTCTCCTTCTGTGATGGAACTCCTATTTGGGGACTTCCTTGGCTTTTTTTCTGGCCCACATAGGACCAGTCTGGATAGTTGGCCTTGGTGAAGATTGGACGTTTTCAACCCCAAAAAGTTTTTGATTTGAGTTTCTACTGAAATGAGGCTGCATTTTAATGTTGTATTTTAATCTTGTTTTTAAGTTGTATCTTAATCAATTGTTTTATACTTGGCGTTAGCCGCCCTGAGCCCGGTCTTGGCTGGGGAGGGCGGGGTAGAAATAAGAATTTTATTATTATTTATTATTAAAAACAAGAAAAATCCAATAATCCCCCTCTCTCCCTAACATATTTGTTTTGTTGTTGTTGTTTTTTTAAAAATTTATTAACAGGCCAATCACATCACATTATTCAAATCACATTAGTTCCAAATTATACAGCCAAATTTTAAATTTTGTTGAGGGTACCCATACATCAAGCTCCGCACGAGTCCAAAATTCCGGATAACTCCAGGCATCACTTATTTTACTGCTTTAATTAGACAGTTCTATCCAGTTCGATCCGGATAGCCCTTTATTACTTTCTTTCTCTTGTTGTTATCATATATTCCTTTCTTTGCGATCTCTTCTCCCTAACATATTTGAAAAGCACTTTTCCCCTATGGTAATATGTATTGTATATCTTTCTTTCTTTCTTTCTTTCTTTCTTTCTTTCTTTTGCTGTAAGCCACTTGGAGACCTTTTGGAGACCTTTCTAATAAAAGCCACTTCTGTGCACACCAAGGAGGTGGGGTTGCGGGCTTCACGCCCCGCCCCCGCGATAACAAGGGAATCCCCGTCCACCTCATGCCCTGGGGCAGCCAATTGGCCGGCTCCAGGGGCGGGGCCTCGGCTATTTAACCCGGCCGCAGCCGAGGCCCCTCCTCTTTCCCTCGCTACAGCTGACACGGTTTTTTCCCTCCCATCCCACCCAACTAGGCTAGGCTTCCCGACGTTGCTATGAACTACGGTTGGTCGCCGTCAACGGGCCTGGTAGGAATTTTCCCAAATGGCAGATTGGCACCAGCCACTTGGCTTTCGCCTACCTCGTAGCAAACCGTCACAACTCTTCGGTATTGGTGGTTAGGCATTGGTGGGGGTACAACTCTATTGTTATGCAAATGAAGGGGGGAAGGAGCGCCATCACCTTCCCCAAAACAAGGGTAGTCCGGTAAAGGATTCTGGGGGGCGTGGCCTTGTCCTAAGCCTAAGGAGGTGTGGGCCCACGGCACGCCTCCACGCGGTGACACCACGGGGAGGTCCTAGCTGACGTGCCTCAGTAGGACTCCTCCCACTGGTGATTAACCCTTCCGGCCTTGGCCGGTTAGTAGAAAGGACCAATGCCTAAAGCCAATACCGCTCAATTCCTGTAATCAATAAAGTTGTGGCCTAATTCGACCCATTAACCTGAATTCTTGTGTCCTGTGTCTTTCTTTCTTGGGGGGAGGCGGGAACTCGCCACGCAAGGGAAATGAAATGAATCTTAAACTTTGGAGGGCTGCTGTGGATCAATGGTTTGATTCAATGCAAGGCAGGTTTCTGTGTTCCTAAGCATCGCAGATTGGTGCAGAAAACAGGATGGAATGGGCTTGCAAGCGAACGCATGCAAAAGCGGCACGGACTGCAGATGGACTGATTTGAGCAACCCTACATACGTGGCGCACTGCTCCTTGGCCCACAACAGAAGAGCCTTCTTTGCGGACATCTTCCACCGTTCCTTCGCTTTAGCATTTCGTTTCGCCGGTGGGCTTGCTGTCGGCGATGAGTCCACAGCACTCGAACTGTCCGGCGAAGGATGACCGTAGCCACAAGCAAGAGTCTGGGCTAACTCTTCAATCTACCAATGAAGAATAGAGGGGGGAGAGGGAAAGGAATAGATTTATTCCACAGTCATTGGTAAGAACTAGGGTAAAAGGTAAAGGTAAAGGGACCCCGACCGTTAAGTCCAGTCGTGAACGACTCTGGGGTTGCAGCGCTCATTTCGCTCTATAGGCCAAGGGAGCTAGCGTTTGCATTAAACACCCACAAAAAAGCAAGACAGATAATCATTACAGTGGTTGCCTATTAACAAAATGAAACATTAAAAAAGGTGCAAAGTCCTGTCTGTCACCACAGAAAAGTCATCAAGAGATTCCTGAAAGTCAAAAGCAAAGAAGAGCTGGCTGCCAAATCCCTGCTGGAAGTGTGCCCCACAGCACGGGGACCGGCGACACTACAGTAAATGCCCAACTTCTACTAAGGCCTCTATAATTTAAAGGTAAAAGTACCCCTGACTGTTAGATCCAGTTGCGGACGACTCTGGGGTTGCGGCGCTCATCTCGCTTTACTGGTTGAGGGAGCCGGCGTTTGTCCGCAGACAGCTTCCAGGTCATGTAGCCAGCATGACTAAGCCGCTTCTGGTGAACCAGAGCAGCGCACGGAAACGTCGTTTACCTTCCCGCCAGAGCGGTACCTATTTATCTACTTGCACTTTGACATGCTTTCGAACTGCTAGGTTGGCAGGAGCAGGGACCGAGCAACGGGAGCTCACTCCGTCGCAGGGATTCGAACCGCCGACCTTCTGATCGGCAAGTCCTAGGCTCTGTGGTTTAACCCACAGCGCCACCCGCGTCCATAAGAACTAGGGTACAAAGTCCTAAATCACTGACAGACCTTGGGGTCTTGAATTTCAGCAGCGCCCTGTGCGGGAACCAAAATCTGGCGCACACAGCCCTGGTCTTCCTTAACTCCCAGAACCCTTAATAAACTACAGTTCCCAGAATTCTTTGGGGGGAACCAAAGGCCTGTTAAAAGTGTTAGTTATTCAAATGGGGCATGGTATGTTGGTCATGTGGGATTTGATTTGCACATCAAGGCAACTTTAAAATGAATGAAAACTGTGAAAACTGAGATGGTACAGTCCTCTCCTAAGGGCCGTTTCACCTCAAACGCCTAGGCATAGCTTTTCAGATGTCATGATCACCGCTCTCCTCCCCTGACACACTGTTTGGGGGGGGGTCTCCTTGCCTCCATCCCCTGAGCCAATTTCGGCAAAAACTAACTTGGGAAATCTTTCTTCCAACCTTGATCAGCTACTCACGTGAAAATGCAATATGATTGTCCAAATCAGGCCAAGCACAATGGATGGTTTGCCTTCAATGATATCAGCAACATGGATGTTGATCAGCTTGATCTGGGAAAAGAAGAATAACTGTTATGTCTGAGCCCGGCTTCGGCTGGGGAGGGCGGGATATAAATAATAAAATAATAATAATAATAGAACAAAGAGAAGGGAAATGAAGCACTGTTTTAAAACAGCTCTTGTGGGATGTTTAAACCTGTAATGCTGTGTATTTGTGTATATTTGTGTGTGTGTCTGTGTGTGTGAGTTCAAAAAGAAGAAAAAATATGGTATATACTGGACTCCTATGAAAACATCACAATCCAAATCCACCTCTAGCCATGTACAACAAGTTGTTTCTTGTCATTTATCTCTTTATTTAACACAACCTCTGTACTGTTTTATTGTTGTTCTTGTTGTTTAAGCCTCTAAGTCTAAGCCATGAGTAGGCAAACTAAGGCCCGGGGGCTGAATCTGGCCCAATTGCCTGCTAAATCCGGCCCGCGGACGGTCCGGGAATCAGCGTGTTTTTACAGGAGTAGAATGTGTGCTTTCATTTAAAATGCATCTCCGGGTTATCTGTGGGGCATAGGAATTCGTTCATTTCCCCCGCAAAAAAAATATATAGTCCGCCCCACCCCACAAGGTCTGAGGGACAGTGGACTGGCCCCCTGCT